CAGGGGCCCCGTGATGACGCAGATTCTGGGCAACACCACACCGTTCCCAAGGTGGCCACAGCAGGATGCCATGCAGAAGGGTGACACACAATGGGAGAAGGCAAACAGGGAGAGGATGAGCCCTCAGCCAGGCCATGTTTGGAGGGAAGGCACGTGCCGTCCCCATGCCTGGCCAGCCTGCATCATCCACATCTCAAAATGCTCATGTGGCTCTGCTGAGGGATAACAACTCTGAGCCAGGCAGCTCCTTCCTGCCTCTGAGCACTGTAATGAACTTAGCTGTGTGCCACTAAGGACGTGAGTGTGAGCAGGGAAGCTTTGCTGTGGTCTGGTGGCTGCTCAGTCACCCATGGGAGACAGCTTCAGTTCCTCTGGTGTCTGGAACCAGCTGGGGGAGGGCAGGATCAGGGCTCCCAGCTGCAGCTCTGAAGATGGGCACTGGGTCCAGGCCTCTCCCAGTGCAGTCCAGTGGGAGATGGGGTCTGGGCACAGGCCAGTCACAACTTCAAATGCAAGCACCCCACCTGGGGCCAGACCCACAGCTGTGACTTGCTCCAGGTGCCCCGGGGAGCCAAAATTCAGCTTTGGCCATGGCCAGGAACGAAGGTGGAGAGTGGAGTCTCCCAGCTCAGGGGATCCCAGCAGTGTAGTTATGAGTGCCACTCTCTGTTTGTACAAGCCTCATCTTAACACCAATGCTGCTGATTCCTGCTCCCATACCCAGACACCTTCACCCCTGCCCTGCTTCTCAGTTCTTTTCCTCCTCTCCCAGGGCCAGAGTCCAGCAAGAGCAAATCCCCAAGATCACAGAGAAAGTTTCCAAAGCAGTCATACTCAAAGCCATCACTGTGGCATTCAGCTACACGAAGACCACAAAAAATTATGGAATCGTAGAATTACAGAATCATTTAGACTGAAAAAGCTCTCTGAGATCAAGTCCAGCTGTTCCTCCAGCACTGCCAAGGCCACCACTAAAACATCTCCCCAAGTTCCACATCTATATGATTTTTGAACACTTTCAGGGACTCCACACTTCTCTCAGCAGCCTGTTTTGATGCCTGAATTCCTTCTGTTTATCATGTGGGAAAAGGCAGTGGCTGGGGGCTGCCCTGCTTCCTTCCTGCCTCTCACGGCCTAGGGTGGGCTGGGTTCACTGGGACGCCCCAAATCCCCCCCAGCACTCACAGCACCAAACAGCTGCCCAAGGGGTACCCCATGTCCCTTGTTCAGTAGAGTTCCCTCAAGCCACAGTTGTCCTCGTCCCCATTGCAGTCCCCTTTCCCCACCCTTCTCTTCCTCCTCCCTCTGCCCACACTGTGCAAACTTTCCCCACTTTGGTGTTCTCGGCACCAGCAGCACCTTCTCCTGCCAGCTTGGCAGCCAGCGGGCAGGGCAGGCAGGGCAACACCAGCAACTGCGACCCCACTCCACCGGCACTTTCATCCTTATCTGGGACATTCCACCTGACCCCTGGAGTGGCCTGGGAGTGCTGCATTCCCACACACGGGAGCTGGCACCTGCTTCCAACAAACCGAGCACCAGGGCAGGGCCCGGCGGGGAGAGCTGCTGCTCGGGAGTGGGGTGGATGGACAGACGGACATGGCAGCACTGCCCTTGCACACACACAGCCCTAAACACACACACAGAGCCCTACACACACACACACAGCCCTAAACACACACACAGAGCCCTACACACACACACACAG